ATTTTGAAGGAGCGCGCTTTACTTCGGTACTCGGCGGAAGTGGAAGGCTCTTCTCTTCCGGTCTCGTTGAGGTCACGCTCGGGGCTGAAGATGGCGGCGCCCGATGAGCTGTTTTGTTGGGAAGGAGACTGGGGCTTACCGTCCGTCAGCTCCGACTGCCTGGTGGTTCTGGTGAGTGTCCGGCCGAACCGAGCCGGTGTCGGTTCGGCGGCTGTCAGTGCGGAGGTCCTCGTCGCGGTAAAATCCCGGGTCAGAGCGTCACGTGGTGGTTCTGATGGGTTAAACCCGGGTTTTACCGGTTAAATGTCAGGTTCTGAACAGAAAACCCATGAAATGAGTCTCGGTTCGGTTCTGATTGAAGGATTTCTGTCTCATAAGGTTGAAATAAATCAGGAAAAGAACGATTTTAGTTTTGATCGATGAATCATTAAGTTTAGTTTTAATATTAAAATTTAAAAACAATCTTGTTGATGTAAAATTCTGACCTGATTGAAGATGATTGTTCAGCAGAAATTAAATTATTTTATGGTTTAATCAAATCAAACTGTTGGATTTGAGGGCAGTAAATCAGGTTTTTCATTCGGTTTTAGTTTGTAAACAATGTTTTAAACTCAGAGGATGAGTTAATCTCTTCTCATTTCTTTAGCTGGATTCATTAAAGAATATTTTAAAATGTTTTCTGATCTGAGCAGAACTGGTTTGATTTTAGCTCCAAAACATCAGATCTGTCTGAGCTTTCTTAATTAAAATAAACTGCAAACAAACGAAACATCAAATAAACAAACGTAAAAATACGAGTAAATTTATTTTTGTTATTTCTTTCTTTTATTATTCTAAAACTTATTAATTCATTTACTAACCCTGTCAAACTGAAAATCTTATTTAAAGATAGATAAACGTGTTTTTTTGTTTCAAACAAACTGTTTATTTATTTATTTTTGTTTGTGTTTTAATAATGAATGAGGTGTAATTCCTCAGATCACCAGCAGATGTCAGCAGAGTTGTATAAAATAATTACTTCCGGCTCCACAGATGGGTAAATAAATCAGACATGTTGGGTTTTAAGTCGAACATGTTTTCAGCTTCTAATGTTTTATTTTTATATTTATTAGTTGATAAAATAAAACTATGATCGATGTGGTTTACTGAACAAGATAAAACCTGTAAAATGAATGTTTATCTCCGCCTCTCATGCTGAAGGTTGAATGAAGCTGATCAGTGTCGGGGTGACTCTCAGCTACTACCACCCACCTGTGTTTCTGAGTCAACACAGTTCAAGATGGCTGCTGCAGCCAGCGGTGCGCTGGCTGCAGCAGCCATCTTGAACTGTGTTACTCTAACCAGGTGTAGGTCAACATCTACCTCCTGACAGTTAATAGTAAATATTTTGCTAACAGACAGTGAGTTTAGTTTGTGTGTGTTAGTAAAAGTTCAGCTGCGTCTGAAAGGGTTAAAGCTGACAGAACCGGTCTGGTTCTGGTCTGGTGCAGACGCCCGACCACCCAGAGGGCTCTGTCTGCAGACACACGACTTTCCATGACTGATGTGAGCCTGTGGGTTTAAAGGCAGCGCCTGCAGACCGCGCTCAGGGCCGCAGCGCTCCTGAGACTCATTGGACCTGACAGGAACGTGTTGGTGTTGGACCCGCTTCTCTGAGCCCAGCAGCAAGGCATGCTGGGTAACCATGGTTCCACGCCACAGCGCTCGGAAAACTGAAGAGGTTCTGCTGCTGGGTCACAGCTGGGTCCACAAACAGCTGTCAGAACCAGGAGTTCTGATGGACCGGTTCTACACGGTCCAGCTGAGTCAGAACCAGGAGTTCTGATGGGTCAAGATGACTTTCATATATATAATTATCAGGTTCTGTTCAGTTTTAGCTAATTTAGCTCTTTTACCTGTTTTATCTCTTTCATTGTTTTTAGCTGTTTGTTTTAACTGTTTTTGTTATTTTTAGCTGTTTTATATTTTTAGCTGTTTGTTTTTAGCTGTTTTAACTGTTTTATCTCTTTTAATTGTTTTAGCTCTTTCATTGTTTTTAGCTGTTTGTTTTAACTGTTTTTGTTATTTTTAGCTGTTTGTTTTTAGCTGTT